TACATGTGAAAAACGAAGTAGCTTGTTTTAGTTTTCAGTTGTCTCGAGACACGACACAGTAGATACTATTGATAACTCCACGAGAACTACAGTGAGTTTCTCTCTAAAGTGTAAATGAGATTGTAAACTTGTAAGAAACAGATTATCATTATTATTATTATTATTTACGAAAAAACATTAACTTTAGAGTTGTTCATGTTAATAACCTAACAAAGTGAATTTTGTTAACAAACTATTGTTAGCTAACATGTATATATATATATGAATGATATAAAGAGAATTATATCATCTGACAATTATATGTTGTTCAGATGTATTTCTTACATCAGATTAAAAGTTAACAAGCTTTATAAACATGTTCTTAGTTATTAAATGTATCGAATTGTTTAAATCACTTGTGAATTAGCTCAGAATAGATTATATTCTCAAACAAAACATTTAGGATTTAAGCTATATATATATATATATATATATATATGAAAACCTTTTGAGAAAAGCTTCAGTCTTTCATCAAAGCCGATAAAAAATTTGGGTATTTTGAAACACGGGGTTTTTATCAAGTCGAAACTTTGATGAAACAAGAAATCAAAATATTGTCAGTGATAATATACTATTGAATTATAAGTTTAAAATACCTCGGCAATTCGTGACACCATAAACTAGTGTAGTGTGTCAATTTTAGCGTGTTCTTATGCTCTGTAATTAGCTCGTCTAGTCAGTCGTTACTAAATAGCGTCTGAAGGTTTATAAATCGGAAGGTGAACACAAAGTTTTGAACACGTTTATTTAGGACACACCACAAAGCGAAGCGCAGAAGCAGTGAGTAAAACAAATGAAGCGACGTGGATTGGATAAGGCTGTTGAGCCAATTATAGAGCATAAGAACACGCTAAAATTGACACACTACAAATAGTGAGCCGGCCGTTGAATCTGCCTGACATTTCCAGGATTAATTTGACGATTCCGACGACAAAACAACCACCACAAATGGTGAGCCCGTCGTTCATTCATGTCACTCTCCAATTCGCTCTCTCGATTCATTCGCTTCATTACATTCGCCGATTCACTCGTTCGTACGTCTTCACAGAAGATCAGTAAGCACTAACTACATTATTCGACGATTGCGACGACAAATCGAACAGAACTACTAACTGGAAATCCCGACGCCATACAGCTACAAAACAGCTCTGGTACTTAATGCGTTAGCCTTCTCTAAATCGCTTCACAGGATTCGCTTCAGTCGCTCATTTGCTCACCAGCGTACACAATAATGGTGAACCCGTCGTTCGTTTTATTCAACACTATGAGTTCACCTTCTGATTTATAAACCGTCAGACGCTAGTTAGTAACGATTGTCTGGACGAGCTAATTACCGAGCTTAAGAACGCGCAGTAAATCGACATACAACAAATGATGAGTCCGTCGCAGTAAATGGCCACCACAAATATGGTGAGCCCGCCGTTGAAATGGGTCACCACACTAGGACCAATAAATCTATCGAAGCGTCTAAGAAAGATAGTCATTTCCATAACATTTTTGATTTCACTGGATATATCCGTCTATTTAGTGTTTTAATAAATTACACATAATGCTAAACACGAGTTATAAAATCTCGAGAAAGAGAGAGAGATTGGGATAATTACACATCTATAATTAAAGAAAATAGTTACTCCAATGAAACATTGTATTGAACCCTTTTTATCAGGTTGAATTATATACTGAATGAGACTAAATTCATTCAGATGCTATTTCACAAGACTAGCTGTATAAATTATGCAGACCGCAGCAAAAGGCCCATCAAAACATGTCACCCTGTTATATTGTCGGTTTTGACATTAAGGTGAGACGAGTTTATTTTTTCATAACTGATCACCTTGAAGCTAGACGGATAACAGAGCAGAACGTGACGCATGGTATCTCTGATGGATATTATCTTTATAACTTGGATTCCTGTAATCTGTTATGAAGTTCGCATATTAGTCTTATTTTTAGTGCCAGTTATATATATTATATATATATATATATATAACCTTCTTTTAACCTTCATCAACCTTAGTAATCATCTAATCTTTAAAAAATTCAATCTACATGTGAAAAACGAAGTAGCTTGTTTTAGCTTTCACTTATCTCGAGATACGGTATGTGCCATTGATAACTCCAAAAGATCTACAATGCTTTTCACTTTAAAATTCTCATGGAACTTATCTTAGATCGATCAGAGTTAGACACTAACACCACTGGATGCCGGCCAGCCCAGTGATCGAGGGTGTAAGCATTCGTGAGCAAGATCGAAGTTCCTGGTTTCGAACCCTGCAAGCAACAGGAGTCGCGGATACGCACATGACAATCAGACCGTCCGGTGCTTCCAGGTTTTTAATGGTGGTTTAACAATGATTCACTTATGATTTCAACGTTAAAAAAATCTATATACTTGACTGGGCTATTCATTTATCAGTTAGAATCTCGAAAATGAAGTAGGCAGAATAAAGGAGCGCCTCTAAAACTATAAGAGAAATCGCCGAAAGATTTTTTTCCAAAAGGAGACATTTAAATAAAAAAATATTTGTATGTATTTGACATCAAGGGCATACTCATAGCTCTAACTGTTGAGTAAAGCTCTTTAAATGACGGAAAAAGGAAATCCAAAACAAACATAGAGTTTATTCGCTTATTCAGTAGGCCTGGTTTGTATTTTAAAAAAGTTAAAATCCTAATTATTGATAACCGAAGTGTAGGGATGTGTGTGACTGACAACAAAATCGTAAACATAAGTATTCGGAGTGAGTTAGCAGTAAGCAAACTCCAGTTTAATTCGGCAATTTAACAAGCCAGAGTTTAACAAATAAGTCTGGTTTCAACCAAGGTTTTTAACTTTTTAAATCACGTATATAACGATGAATGCAGTAAAGTCCGTTCTCTGCCCTGATAAGGTTGATGCACGACCAAAAGCTATCTACTATTCAAATAATATGATGTTCAGGTCTTTTAAAGATAATTTTTCAAGTCAAAAAATTAATACTGTTAAACATTAATAAGATAAAAAAATTACTTCTGTAGGCTGAAAAAAAGTTTAAATGTAGTAAAAATGCACCATTCTCTTTTAAAATCCAAACTTATAAGACTATGTACACATATAATGAGGTTATCTATATGCTTTAATGGACTGAATATCATAGCATATTAAAAAACCATCTTAATTTATCACAAATTATGGAATATTTTTAGAAATTTATTGAGGTAATAAAAGGTTTTGCAGATTTAATTACTTTTAGGAGAATAACCAATAAAATAATGCTACTACTGGCCAGTATATCAATTCTTTCTACAGGATTACCATTCAAAGAGTAGGATGTCATGAAAATCACCCACTTTCTACTTATAAGTACCCACAGTTTGCCAGATAAACAAATTAAACAAAATCTCCATGTACGTAATGAACAAATGTGTTTTTAAAAGGAAACAGATACATAGTAAAGTTTTACAGAGTTTCCATTTGATATATTCTATTACTCTGCATATTGAAAAGCAAATCATTTCTTTCTAGTGATCAAATTTTGTTAAAATTGCTTAAATAATTTTACTTAACAAATGATCTTTGCAAATTTTACCTAAGAGTGATTAAAACAAAATTCTATGTATTTAAATATCTCTTACATATTTAACACTCATATTAAGATTTAACTATGTCATTAATCACCGAAAGTACGTGACCATAGCACCATTGTCCTGAAGTAGTGCAGTAACTTAAGCCAATACATATTTGTGCCAAATTCATAAACTGCTTACACCTGCATGCTCTTAAACCAAGCTATAGTGCGACATCTCTATGTAATATCGATTACTCTCTGTGGTAGTGCTCACCCGATTCAAACTTTGAAATACGATATCTTCACGTGTGCCAAGTACTTTCTCTCTGAGTTTATATCAGCTCATTTGTAACTTCTACAGTATGCATTTGACAGTTCAGGGAATGACTTGTTATTAAGCAGTATTCTAGCACTTCTGATTACCACATATAGCCATTACGACACAGCGTTTCATTTTCATTGAAAGTAACACGTGTTCAAATTTATTTTATGTGCATTTAACGCTAGTTATTATGGTGCTTTTGACCAACAAACGTCAAAAATAATTGGAGTTCCTTTATAAACTTCAACGGTAAGTATTCTTATATCAATTCGGACGCTTTATACACAAAAGTAATCGATTTCTAGACATCCGAAATTTCCAAGTTATATTTTACAGATCAAAAACTCCAATGTATTCTTAATCCATCAAGTTATTAGAAACACTTCAAACTGATCACTCAGTCAGGTGATATGTCTTAAAACTGGTAGCACTGAAACAGAGGCTTTATCCTCCGAATTTCGAAATTATTACTCAAAAAACTTTATTCCATAATTTATCGATTTTTGATCTTTACTTACTCTTAGCCATTATTAATATTTTAAACATCAGTTCTGCTCTTTTCTTTCCCTCTTGCTATTCCTACTTATCCATAGTGATGTAAATTGTGACAACATGAACCGATGAATATCTTTAACAAATCTCGTATTGTTTTCATCAATCTAGTTTGAAGCAAACCAAAATGGGTGCAAAATTAATTTAGATAGATATATCACATAAACTACATCATTAAATCTTTCCATCTATTTACCGATCAGTAATGTAGGGTCTGTTCCAAGTGCAACTCTGTCTAAAACTATTAAGTCAAAACAAAAAGCACTTTGAGTAAGACAATAATACAAAGTTATTAATCCAGCCGAAATTCACCTAATAAAAACCTAAAGAGCATTTAAAACTGAAATTTATACAAAGTCTAACCAAATCAGTCATGCCTTTAGTCTACAAGCATTAGATATTCAAACTTCTTGCAAAATTTATGTTTCCTAAGTCACTATGTAATTCCATTAGTTGAAGAAAATATCTTATTATGTATGATTTATTCATGTAGTTTAACTATACAGCATGAAAACTCATGAAAATCAAACTTTTCTTACTCATAATTCACTGGTGAAGTTCTAGTAGCTGCTTCATTGGCACGTAAGGATGATATGTATTTATCACAGAATTTTTCACCGCTTTCTACAGAAACTTCCTTTTTACTCCTCATAGCACTCATCTCCAGGGATTTAGAGTTATGTACAGAACAAGTGACTTCATTCACCGAGGGAACTGCATACGAAGAAAAGCTTGTTGGCAATGTTGAACGTAGTTTCGATCTGCTAAAATTAACTCCATGATTGTTTCCATACCTTGAATAGTTAGTGGTGAAAACATAATGCATTTCCTTACCTGTGAATTCTATAGGAATCTAAAAAACTGCTCGGAGCAAGACGAACATCAAATCGATTGGGGCTCGCATATCTTGTAATTTTGTCAGTCTGAATGGAAGGACGACTATTTGCAATTTCATGCATGCTGACTGATCTCATTTGTGAAGGACTTGCACCGAAACACTTCAAGTGCTTCACATCTTTTATGTTGGCTTCATGCTGCATAATTTTTATGATGGGATTGAAAAGGCTTTTTTAGCACATAAAGAACCCTGATCCTGTAGTTTCACTGACGTCAAAATCATGTTAAGATTTATAGCAGTTATAAGGCGAACAAAATGCGCCATCTATGTATTCAAAATATTCGAGATGAACCAAACATATGCAAACTTACATAACCGAAATAAATAAAGTTCACTAATCTAGTTTCATACCTGAATACTAACCAGTTACTGCTGAAAAAGTGACGCAAACAAACAAACATTGGACCTACAATGATAACCTCTTTTTCTCACAGTTACGTTGTGCCTTGATAAGTTAGTTTATCCTTTTTCTTACTAACTAGCAATTTCAGATTGACTAAAAGACGCTGAGTGTGATAAGTAGAGTAGATTTAAAAATTTAAAGCTAGACATACTTCAGAGTAATTTTCGCCATCATTCATTGTGCTTTTGACTAATTAAAATTTATGATGAACAAACACTGATGGCTTATAGGCTTTTATACAGAGTTGCCAACCCTTAGAACCTAGTACCTAAAAGCTGTCCGCAGCTTGAAGTGATATATTCATATGCTGACAAGGCATTAACAGAAGCTTATTGGAAAAGAACCTTCTGTCCTCTGATTCAGTAAATGATGACAAGACAGTGATTTCCGTTGTCCACCCACCAATCCGAAATTGTAATCATTTAAGTACACAATTATTTACTACACTATGTGTCTATAGGGATGAATAGGAGAGATTGTGCAATCTCCACACAAGCTAAGCCTCAAATGCGAGTTAATGAATGCTTTTCTAAAGTAAAGTTAGGCTTGATAATTTGACAGTTTGAGGCCTCAAGGTCGACATTGGTTTCACTGGTCGGTGTATGTTTGGATATCAACTTTCTGGTGCACACGTGCTCATTACTACAGTGCCTTTTTATTACTTCTGTTGTGGTTAACGAACTGCAGTATTTTTACTTGGAACAAATGTTTTTCATCTCTGGTGCTTCGAGTTGAGGACGTTCGGATATCAAGCGCCATACCGAATCTACTAATATTAAAATTCTGACCTGACTGTTTGTTGACAGTCATTTTGTGTATCATATGTTCATCAACTGAAGAAATACTGCCCTTGCTTTAACGATCCGTGCCTTCACATCATCATGTATGCCATTCTCGTCAATGATGCTGCCCGGATATGTAGCGGTTTTAACGTTCTCCAAGATATCTCCATCAAGAGTGATTTGGTTGGCACATGTTGTGTTGCATTGGAGAATTTCGCTTTTTCCTTTATGTATGTTGAGACTTGCTGATTCTGGGTCCGATGCTAGACTGGTCGTCTTCTCTTACATTTGTTATTGTGTGTACGATAGAAGAGCCAGATCATCTGCGGGGTCCAGATCGTCCGGCTGCATCCTAGCTGTCCATTTGATGTCTTCATAATCCAGTGGATCATCAGAAGAAAGAGAAAGGGTGAGAGTAAGCAATCTGGCCTGAAACCGGTCTTCACTTCGAAAGAGTCTATGAGTAGTTATCCGTGCATGATTTTGCAGTTCACTCCATCATAAGAATTGCGTATGATGTTGACTATTTTCTCAGGGACAAGGTAGTTTCGAAGAAGCCTTCATAATGTTATCCTGTCCACGCTATCGAATGCCTTCTTGTGGTCAATGAAGTTGATGTAGAGTAGTGATTTCCATTCAATTGATTGCTCCGTAATGATCCGTAATATAGCTATTTGGTCAGTACACGATCAATCCTTACATAATCTAGCCTGCTGATCTTGAAGTTAGGCTTCTACGAAGTCCTTCATTCTGTTTAACACCCTGTTGGAGACTTGGCCAGGCACTCAGAGAAGAAGAGCGATGCCTCTGTAGTTCTCACACTTGCTGAAACCGCCTTTCTTTAGTATTTTGATGAGGTCTCCTTCTTTCCAGTCTGTTGGTACATCTCCTTTATCGTAAATTTTGTTGAAGAGGATATGGAATATTTTTGCAGTTGCTGCCATGTCTGATTTCATTGCCTCTGTTGGAATGTTGTCTGGTCCTGCTGCTTTACCGCCTTTGATTTGTCTGATCTCTTCAATAGTTGGTGGGCCAAAATCGATTGGGATGTCCGTAGATGCTACCTTGATGTTGGGTAGGTTCAGTAGGGATGGTCTGTTCAAGAGTTCATTCAAGTGTTCTACCCACCTATTCCTCCACTCTTCTACGTTGCTGATTATATTGCCTGCCTAGCTTTTCACTATTCGTTCTGGTTTACGATGGTTTCCAGCGAGCTTCTTTGTTGTATCGTACAACTGTTCCATGTTTTCTTCTCTTGCAGACTTTCCCGCTGTCGTTGCCAGATCATCCACATATTTTCGTTTGTCAGCCCTGATGCACTTCTTCACTTTCGTGTTTGCTTCTGTGTACTCAGCTTGTGCTTTGACTCTCTCTGCTCTTTTTCGGGTGATGTTGACTGCTGCCTCATTGTCCCTCCTTCCTTAAATATTATCCAGAATACCAACAGTGGTCCATTCCTTATGATAATACTTCTTGTGGCCTAGAACCTCCTGACATGTTGTGGCGACTGCTTCCTCGATCACTTTCCAATTGTCCTCCAAAGTTTTTCCTCTCCATTGAGTATTTCGCGGACGCCCATTAATGTCAAATACTGATCGGATGTATATATCGGAATTCAAACACTCATCTATCGATTGACACTGCTATTGGTGAGTCATTTGACAAGGCTGCACCTCTTAAATTCGCCAACAAAATTATTTGTGGTGACTTCAACCTCCCTGGAATCAACTGGCTGACACTTCCATTCCACTACGCTTTGAAAGCCCGTCGGACAAACATGGTTGGCAACAACATGCACACCTGCCTACAGGAAACAACAACACTGTCGACTTGGTATTTGCTTTGATTTCACACCAACATCTGTGGCAGTTTGCGACCATGAAGTAGTCCCTAGCACCCTGCCGTTTATCACAAAATGTGACAAATCCAAAATAATAACGCGTTTCAAATGCAGAGACTACGAACCCGCTGACTGAGACAGCTTCCAGTTTATAATCCGGCACCGGACTACTACCGGCATTGGACTACTTTCTTTACTAGCATTGATCTCTCTGAAGCATTACCTATGATCAGTGTCACCATCAAATCTTCACTTTAAGTAAAGCATCAGAATTTTCATTAGAAACTAGGAAAGACAACTCCACTTTAAGCCTTTTCAAATTCTTTAAACCCAGCATTGACAGTCCTGTTTCGCTAACTAAATTTCACAAGGTATGTATGAGGAATTATCATCTCTTATTAGCAATTCACAACATCCTCGTATAGGCAGTCTGTGTCCAGTAATCCCCAATATTGATATTTCAGTGGGTCGCACTTACAACGTTAGGATCTAACGATTTCAAGTTCTTGAATGAAATAATGGACTCCATACTACCAATGTCCACAATAAAGTCATGACATGAACCAAGCGATGTATATAATCGCTTTTGAATATGAGCGTTACCTTTCGAAATGGTAGACAAAGATAAATGATCATTAGGACTAGCTGAATTATTGGGATCTAAATTACAAGATTTAGTACTACTTGAGGCAAAATGAACAGTAGCTTTGCATACTAGTTGAATGTGTCCTATCTTACCACATCTAAAACATTTAGCATTGCGAAATGCACATGAATTACAAGAATGAAGTTTTCCACATGATAAACATTTGCCAAACTTGGTCTCACCTTTGTGATTTCCTTTGTAATTCTTTATTGAGACACGAGAATAGGAACCTCTGTTAAACGAACACAATTTTGATTGACCCTGAGATTGTTTTTCATCATGACAACTAATCAGTGTATTAGAAATCTTCATCGACTGAATATCAAGTTCATTCAACACCTCGTAGTTAATGCACGCAGTTCTAACATCTTGAAAGGAACAGTTTGACATTCTTAACAGCCCTCTTTCCAAACTAGGTATGTTAATTCCTGCAACATATCGGTCTCTCAGCTGCACATGAAGTTGATCACCGAAATTACATTTGACAGCTTGTTTCTGCAATTCAAGAATGAATTGCTTAACATTTTTGTCATTTTGACGAATCATCTTATGAAATTTCGCCTTTTCACGGCATTCAAAACCAGGGCACTTTACATGATTTAATAATAACTCCTTAAGCATTGCATAGGGAAGTGAGATTGGTTTTTCTGGATATGCCAAAGTTTTTAATAAGCTGTACGCTGTACGAATGTCAGGAAAGGAGCCACAGTTTTATCATCTTTGACATCGTTCCTGGTCATACTCCAGATTTCAAACCTTTCCAAATAATCTTCAAAAGCTTCAGAAGTAGAATGAATATCTAACTGTTCCATTACAAGCTCCATTGCGACGCCAGTATGATGATTAGAAGTATGTGAATCAAGAACTACGGGATAAGCACGAACGAATGTGGTGTATTTTGAATTCGAAATCAAGCATTCAACAACAACAAGAAGTCACTGGTTCATTCAAACACCACAATAAACTTCGAGATAAAGTATGCTTACTCAGGTACATACAGTATGAATTAGAGGTTGTCATTCGATTAGAAATTGTTGTACGGTGAAAAATATAATTATCAGTGTCTATTACAAACTTTGTTTTTCTCCCTGAACATTCGGCTTCAATGTACAGACATCTCTGTGCTGATGCGGTATGGTAACCTGAACTTATGTACTCATGTACGAAGTTCCATGTTGTAACTGACTACTGACTGACTGACTACAAACATCCAGCTTCTTCAACTTTTCTTCTATCTATTTAACACATTCGGCAACTCTTCCTTCTTCATTGCTGTACTCCTTGATTTTTGGGCTATATGACTATGATTTACTTTAATAATAATGATGATTAGTATGAATTTTATCTTGACTTGCCACAGCATTGTCTACTTCAGCATGAAAGTTTAAGCAGTGCTCTGGTTATATACATACGGTTGCCTCGTTACTGTTTTTTCTCTTTCTCCCTTTTGTCCCTTCTCAGAGCCCTATTTGCAGTGGAAAATTGTGGTGTTTGAATGAACTAGTGACTTCTTGTTGTTGTTGAATGCTTGGTTTCGAATTCTAAATACAGTACATCCGTTCGTGCTCATCTTGTAGTTCTTGATCCACTTACGTTGTTTCTCGCCTTCTTCACTTCGCTTCGCTTTGCTCATACGCTTTTCCTTCTCACGTCTGTCTGCACGAAAGATTACCTGAAATAACTTCATCCAAGTGAATCTATATGTGTCTTCTTATTACTGCCATCGCACA